ATACACTTATCCAGATGTATCCTTAACTTTTGTATGTATATCATCCTAAAACCAAGGTCAACAACTGTTGATCTTCTAACCAAGGTTAATAAATGTTTATTGTTACTCGAACCCTGGTCAATAACTTTTCCCCCTCTAACCACGGTCAATAACTTTTTATCCTCTAACCCAGGTTAATAACTTTTTTCCCTCTAACGAAGGTCAATAACTGTTTTACCTCTAACTGAGGTCAATAACTTTTTTCCCTCTAACGAAGGTCAATAACTGTTTTACCTCTAACTGAGGTCAATAACTTTTTTCCCTCTAACCGAGGTCAATAACTTTTTTCCCTCTACCTGAAGTCAACTTTTTATCCTCTAACCACAGTTAATAGTTGTTTATCATTTAACCATGGTTGGTTATCTTTTAAACAAGATAAGAAATGACCAAGCTCAATCACTATGACAGCCTAGAATTTTGTTTATGATTCTTCATTTGGCAGCGACTACCTTCTGTGTTTTATTTTTCCATGGAGTGATATGTGAAAGGAAATCTGCATGCAAGATGAAGTTGGTTAACAGAATTGGGGTATTATTCTAAATGCTTTGCTGGTATTTGTCTCAAGTCTTTATTGCTATCTATAAACCTTTATTTATTACACTTCAATGACTCTTTAAAGAAGAGAACATTCTTCTTGTAGTATATTTTCTGTTACACTTTTTCGGCTAACATTGATAAAATCATCCACATATACCACTGAATGCTTGTCCCATCACAACATATCTGTATATATTCTTCATTAAGTAAGCCTCCACAATGATTTCAATTTCAAACAAAATTACACCAAAGAAATGTTATACCATGTAATAAACCCTTTCCTTTCGCAAAGAGCTACTGTTTTGGCCCCTTATATCTTTGTCCTGTAATAAGCCCATCCCCTGACTTAAGAATCAGAGGTTATGTGTTGGCCGCCTTAGATCATTCTCCTGTTTTAAGCCCACACCTGACTTTGAGTAAGAGAAAATGTGAGTTAACCCCCTAATGTCTTTGTCCTGTAATAAGCCCCCCCTCAACTTGAGTCAGAAATAATAGTTTGAACCCTGGGCTTATTTTAGCAGTATAGATATGAGACTATCAATATAAGACAAATTTAAAAATCAAAATGTTAAAATTAACGAAATGTTCTGTTTAATTATTTTCATGCTTGATATCATAAAGAAATAACCAAAATTCTGTTTCTTTCCCAATTTGATGAATTTGTTTTTAATTTTCAACTGTAACATTCCTTTTTAATTTTCTGCATTGTAGTTTTCTTACAAGAAAGCATTTTTGTATAAACTAAAAATTTTGGACAATTAGACGCAAACATCCACACATAGCCTTTTTTAATAAATGAATTCTTGAACTTATTAATCTTTAATTAATTGGCTAGTAATCAAAAAAAGTTTTAACACTTAAAACAAGCATCACTCTTTTTATATATTATGAACAAGCTTTCAGATATACAAAAAAAACCATCTTAACACAGACTATATTGAGATTGTCTGAAAAAACACCTAATCAGCTATTTTCCTAATGAATATATCATATATAGAAGGGAAAAAATAAACAGAACAAGAAGAAATATCCAGCTTTTATGAAATTAGAGGATAATAGGAGTAAAAATTATTTATATCAAATATTAATTCTACAGAAAATCAATGTCATGCATTCAACGGTTACAATGATCAAACACAAAACCTGTACGATAACAAATGCTCAGACGTCCTGACGATTCAGTCAGGCGTAACATATGAATTATACCTGTATTCCGTAAACACAGACTTTTGCCTGTAGCAGACACACTACAATAATCATTTCTACTGAAGTGTTATTGTTGTCGGCTCCCCTTCAATAAAACATACCTGTGACATTGGTTTTAATATTTCATCTAAATCAAGTGTGCCGACAGATGGGTCGACTTCTATAGTTTGGATTTTTGTATTGATGTTCGGAGGTGCAGATCTAATTCATTTCCCAATTTCAATTTTCTTTCCATGTTGTTTTTACATCAAACTACATTATGAGTCAAAGACGAAGTTATATCAATGTCGTTGACAAAGTAGAAAGGGATTCTTTCCATACAATGTCATCCGGCCGACTACCCTCGGCCGTAATTCACCACATCATAATACAAACATCCTTTTGTGATGGCTTTTTAGTGAGCTTCACTCTAAAATATCAGATGTGTTTAATCACATGTAGCAGATCCTAATCGACGATAATGTCTGGCATATGATAACGGTGTTACTGATAATGCTAAAATATGTCTCTATCACACCCCCTCAATATTCTGTTATAATAACAATATTAAACAAGACGATAGGATTCATGGACGAGCGAATAAAAAATATTCAATATATTTCATACCAAACATTTACGGTTTTGAATGTGTAAAATAATAGCTTAGGGTAATTTTTCAGAACAGCTCTCTCATGAAAATATGGATATGTGATATTAATAGTTAATTTTAGTGCAATGAACATCTTAATAGAAATATCTAACAATCTCCTTTTCAAACTCCCATTATGTTTACATAGATATTTTAAAAATTAAAATCTTGGCTATTATTGTGTGATATACATTATCATATTCCAGGAAGTAAAACATATTATTAGTAAATGTTATTAGAAAATTATTCTACGAGAAGCTGCTTTTTGAAACCTTTGTTCATCAGATATGATATTCAACAAAATATTGTTTGTCTATCGACCAAACATATATAATGATCTAACACTCGAAATATCATTTTAATAATTTTTTTTCATTTTTGTATTTTTCAAAATGCTTTGTATGAAAAGTTTTGACATTGTACTTGCATTGGAAATTAAATATAATTTTTAGTTACTTGTTTCTTTACTAATTTTAATCCCCCCCCCCCCCCCAAATAAAAATCAATCTTTCTTCCCAAGCAATGGAAGCTATTGTTTATAAAAATAAGAAAGTAGAGAATAGTTATTCAATTCATATATCTTCTTGTATTTCAATTCTTATCAAACTTGTTCACTAACATTTCATAGAAAAAACAAAACAACAAAATATCTGCCATTAAAATATTTTCATATTGCATTTTGTGATGCGAGTTCAGAACAGGCTATTGTTAAAGAATCTCCTTGCGTATAAATCAATTCTTAAATTTCTGTCAATCAAAAATAAATCACAACCTATTACAAAACAGCAAATTATAAATACAAATCTTAAGAAATCAAGCAAACAAAGAATATATCGTAGATGTTGATTTCATTTAAGAATTTATTCTTGTTAAACATATATCAATTTATTTCACAATGATGTATGTTATTTATTTATTACGTTTTTGTAGACTTTTATTCAGTATGATAAACAGCAAATCTAGTGACAAAAATCAAAAAGAAAAGAAATTCTATATAAAATTTCAGTCTTGATTTTTTGTATTTTTCCTTTTAAGTGCTATGCTCTATCATTATCTTGTAAAAGGAAAATAAAATGGCTATCACATTTTCATTATGAAATTATTCAACAAAAGTATCAGAAATTTTACGATGTTGACATCACAAAGTTTCACAAATTTAATTATTATCATGGAAATAAAAAAAAAAGTATTTCAATTAAGAGCTATGAAATACAAAGGTCGTCCAACACAGTCATTAACAGAATGAAACATTACACCGATGCAATAGAAATCCTCTACAAATATTTTCTGCAAGGTATAAGAATCTAATTTTGTAATGGAAAATGCATTAGGTTTATACTGTGAATACAAGAATGTAAAAATAATGTTAAGTCTTTTATCAATGCGACAATTAATTAGCTGGGGTAATTAGGTCGTGGGTATTATTGTGTCTTTTTGCCATATGCCCCTCACAAAACATTGTCAATGCCCTTATCGCTTTGTAATCAATAGTAATCTCCCCCTGAAGCTCCTTGCTACCGGAGAAATAAAAAAAACTGATCTGGATTTTTGTTTTTAATATCAAAATTATAAATACTGGTGATTCTTGTCTCAAAAACCAACACAACAACAGCAATGTCCATGTTCTAAATTTTCAAAGATAAAAAAAAAATTTTTTTTCATTAAAAACAAAAACATTGCGACAATGAAAAGAAAGAAGCTCGTCACGGCGATTGAACCGAGACTGCAACAAACCCGAGCTCAGTTGCACTGCTATTATACATCAAGGTATTTCTCGCTATCTAATGGGTTCTAATTCATTTCATTTTTCGAGAGTAATTTCTGTTTGTGGAGATCTGTATCTATAACAAAAGGTGAACACACCTATTTTTGTTAATGTAATGCAGGTCCTGTATTCTTTTGTAAATTCTCTGACCGGGTGAAGTAAATTGTCATGTTGTCTTCATCAATAATGAAGTAATATTTTTCTTTATTTCTTAAAACTTAAAGAGAAGATTATATCTACGTTTTAAAATTATTTTCTTTTTAATTTCCCGTAGATTTAAGCTTTACATAAAATTATTTTAACCCTACATCGTGTGAATTTGGTCACTGATAAATAAAGATCTCATAGTATGTATACAGTTTATTGTCCATAACCTGGGTAAATGATTTACATAATTTAAAACATAAACATATGGTTAACTACCTTTGATATTTTCCTTTATAAAGTGAAAAAATAATTATCCATGTAATAGATACCATACACCCCAAAAAATATTGTTCTTTTCATAAACGGAGAAAAGAATCATTGGTATTTTAAAAGTAAAAAATACTTGTATACTGACAGATCAAAAAGATCATGTTTACTTGTAAAAACTTAGCTGTTTACTTATCCTCAATATGTTGTGTTCTTGTATTCATCAAACACAACAAACAAACGATTAACTCCTTTTCAAATTTATGTTTTTAGTTTTGAAACTTCGGATGAATGCGACACAATGAAATATTTCTTTTTTCTTCTTTTAAATTTTCTCCAGATTCAAGATCCAGTATGAGAGCAGACAATCAGGGTAGCACCAAGCATGTTAACGACTGATTATAGCCTTACCTTTTAACAGTCCTCCTTCTTCGCTTTGTGGCATACATAGTTTTTATCACCCAATCTTCCACCATCAGCCGAAGATTCCTTTTTTTTTTTAAACAACACAAAAACCAAACATTGGCAGTGCAGGTATCACCTCGGCGAAACTTTGCAAATATTTTTCCCCATCCCGGCGGAAGTTAAGCATCCTGTCTACAGTGAACTTTCGGCATCTTGAGAGATTTTTTCAAGACATGTAGCGACTATGATTATATTGACAGCAGTCATTCATGACCTTCTTCAGAATAATTGAAGATGAGGAACCAAAATAAAGACCAAATCACTGAAATGGCGATTACACGAAAGCATATCAGTGTTAATATGATAAGAATGCATACATTATAAGAAATATAAATATGACTGTGGACATAGACACTCTGACAATTCCGATCATGTTCACTTACAATCTCCTATGCAAGTTTCATGCTAACTATTTTCAGCCACGCGACCGTCAACAATCAATACACCCCGCCTCCTCCACGTTTATCCCGCCTTGCTGATTATTGTCGGCCAATCACCTGCTGTGAGGCTGAATGGTAGTCCCCGTGCCTTAAATCTACGGGTATTTACTGTGTTCATTTAACAGGTGTAGTTTTGGTATGAATGAATACCTCCCCTAGGGGTACAATTCGCTGGTGTGACAGTAACCTGACTTCTGACCATTATGCTTTTCATCCCATACAAAACCTAGCTATTCAAACTGACTGAAGCACACTTAATACTATAGCATCAAGCCTTTGCCTTTTCCATAGTGTTCCACATTGACCTTAGAATTAGCGTACATCTCAATCAGTGCACACATCCCATCACATCTCGTCAATTTTTCTTTATTCTAATTAATCATGGATCAATATCTCAATATTTTAAATCTGTGCCATAATTTTTTTGATTTTTTTTATTTAAGTTTGAGCAAGGTAATGCTCTTAGCACGGTAATTTGTGAGCCATTTAAGCCCTGGGGTGTTACGAGAAATAATCGTATTTGGTGACAAACCATTGAGAATGGCTGTAATTACCTGAGTGATAATTCCGATAATGTACCTTCACCTAGATGTAATGGTATTACTGCATTACACAAAGAAGTGACATCACACACTGTCTGCCCATCTGGACAACACCTACTAACCATTACCTTCTGTGGCCATTGACCCGCCCACTCAGTTAGACATATCGTTTGACCATCCCGTCTTTGTTAATATATCACTGCATGTTTTCTCCCTGAAATTCATGAAAAGAAAAAAAAATGAAAAATAAAAGCAGAGGAATGAAAATCAATACGTACTTCCGTGTAAAATTTAGAATAACGAATTTACTGTGATTTATCATACAACACAAATGAATATGTGAATAAACATTCAGCATCTTCAAATGTACATGAATTTTCAGTTCATATGTAATTCATGAAACAATAATTTTGATTTTTAAGAAAGAGCTTCATCTGTTGAAGTAGAATTTTCAAAAAATGTTTATAATTACACAAATTACATATGAAACGGAATCAAATTTAATTTTTTTGTATCACATTATCAAATATTCAAAATATTTCAGAATCATTTTTGCAATTGAAGTCTTGAGTGTCTAATGTGACATTTAAAATGTTCAACTGGTAACATCATAATAGGTTGTTATATAACATATTGTTTTATATGTAAAAACTATAACATATAACAGGTATATATATAAAAAAAATAACATAGATCATGTTTCAAATTATGACATCATATAACATAGAAGATTGTATCAGACATATTTAACACATAACTTCTTTCAGCTATCATAATGCATTTATTTTTATTTTCTGTCTTTAATCGTCCACAGGATTTAAGCTAGCTATTAACAGTGTAATAGTATATCTTTAGTGATAATTGATCAATATCTATCCTGTTCAGAAATATAATTTCAATGACATCTTACCATTAAATTATATAAAAATTTTCCCATTATTTTTTTATTTTATTGGGTTCCCAATATTTAATGCCCATTAACTTTTGATGAATATCAATAAAATTTTGTAATTAAAATCAATGACTTTTTTAATACTAAATGTATTTATTTAACAATTAATGTGTTTATCTAACAATTAATGCATTCATTTAACAATTAATGTATTTATCTAACAATTAATGTATTTATTTAAGAAATTAATTAATTTTTGGTAATTCTAATAATAACTGTTCTGTATATTTATAAAGCAATGTTATTTTATTGTTCGGTAATAAGCCCACCCCTGACTTTGGTAGTGCTTGCCTTTCCTGATGTACTGCAGGATAAATGTGGTATGAAATATCATTTACCAGTGAAGAGAAACATTTCACTGTATTCAGGTCAGGTCTCTTCAATAGAACACTACTATAAATCCATTTAGCTCAAGCCAAGCCAAGTTTGCCCATTCTTATAAATAGATATTTTACAACTCTTAATTAACAAACCAATTAATTTGCATACATCTAATAAATGTTTTCATCACAAAAGGTTTCGAGACAACACTGTTCTTCTTGTGAAGGTAATGTAGATTTCGTAATCCTTTGTTTGGATACCTCCAGAGACGCTAAGAGATTGTAGAATATTAGGTCCTTAAGAAGAGCAAATGTTCGGGAGAAACTGGTAGACTTAAGTAATAAAGATATCACACTGAAGATTCTGAGTTGGTTGTGACTGACCACATCCTTTTATTAAATTATTTGTGTTGACAATTGCTATACAAAGCTGTCATGAATGCCAAATCTGTAAGTAAACACATCCTTAAGAACTTAAAAGTTTTCAAAATAAAGAGCTAAAAATATATAAAAATAAGTACGAAAAAAGAATTTTACCTTTGAAACCTGCACAAACTGGAGAAACATTTATTTTTGCATAGGTCAACTCAACCTCTTGACTGTGTTGACCTTCGTTAATCCAAGCTTTCATTAAGCTGCAAGATCAGTGTCTTCATTTAGATTTCATTAAAGCCCTTTGTAGACTTCAAAAAAATTGTCTAATACTTATATGGATATATAAGAACTATCTCTGTCGCGTAAGTATGTGGAGCCAACAAAAAACGACTGGCTCAAAATCAAGGAGTGGGCTTATCACAGGACAATGAAAAGATTGATAGTTCTTGTGAAAGATTAATACATACACAGGTGGGCTTATTACCAGACATGGGCTTATTACCAGACATGGGCTTATCGCAGGATAATTATGTCATACAGTGGACGTCAAGATTTATTGGAAACGACCAATGTTTTTACTGTTGACCAGGTTTTGTGTTTAAATGATACTGATGTTGAATGTTTTACTGAAAATTTCAATGTTACAGTGAGTAGCTGATTGACAGAGAAGATCAGGTTTGACCCACACAGGTTAAAAACAATTGCTGCAACTTTAAAAAAAATTGAAGTGAGCTCTTGCAGCTGATCTTTTGACAAATAAGATTGAATTTTGACTCACGGAATTAGTTCTAGATAATATCTCTATGGCTTTATCAATTTTACAGCCATTGTGACACAAGCTTACAGTCTATATCAATCACTGTTGTTGGTGAGGAAGGAAACTTGTAAAATTGTACAAAACAGGCACAAGTGAATAACACCTTTTCGTAATTCAGAGTTAGATACAGTAGATCCAAACAATGAATAAAACAGCATCATACAGCTGTTTTTTGTCCTTCTAGGACTTGGTAATGATAATATGTGTCTAAATTTTGAAGCCTAGGAGGCGACTGATGAAAATCCAAACTGACCGAACAGAAAGTCAAGATCCATACAGGGAGGTGCAGCAGCCCCATAATTAAATAAAGGAGGTTTTCCTGTAGGAAGAATCAGAAGTACCCTTTTAAAACCCACGTGGTCGGGCAGGTGACCATATGCCTTTTCATATCCTTTCAAGGAATCAAACTCCAGTCATCTAGGTGATTGAAGACAGGTGTGTTACCACTGTGGCATCTAAACCTCTTTTTACTCAGCCAGTTGAAGATTATAGTGTCTTTCAGCAAAAAGGCTCCAGCCAATGTAGATCTTTATTGCCACTGGATACATTGAAAACAGTCATTGTTTCAAAATTGAATGAAAAATTTAATTTTCTAAGGAAAGCATGTTTTAGGAATTTACTATTTTAATTGTTTCTTTAAACTGATGTGAAAAAACAAGGGAATGACGCATTCCTGCCAAGTGTCAGAACAGGAATCGAACCTGGGTCCCCTGTTTGATAATCCGTGGCTCTAGTTACTGAATCTATAAAGCAATCTTTCCATCAGCTGTGTGACCTTTGAAAATAAATATTTTACATCCATGAAAAATTCAAACAATATATTGTTGCTAAGAGAGAAAAAAAGTCGTGCACAATTTTACCCCTATGTGCTAACCATATAAGCAAACAAAACAATACTGACCGATTTGATTTTGCATAGATATCAGATGTTTAGTGACATAATGCCCTAGCTATTCTCTTGTAACATGTAAACAAATGTTAAAAACATACATGGTTTATATATTGATATTCAATTACATGAAATATAAAACATTTAAAAATGATGTGTTTACGAAACACAATGCCCACGGTTGCAACAAAATTCTGAAGTGGGACACTGAAACTGTACTGTGTAAGGCATGCGCTAACTGCATGCACACTTTGTGAAACACTTGCCTTCATTGTGGTAATGACTGTTTTTTTTACTTTCAAATGTAGGTCAAAGGTCATGGTCAAGGTCACATCGCATGGTACCACTAGAAAGGCCATGTCACAAGGAACACACATGCCAAATATGAAAGCCTTACCTCTTATGGTGCTGTAGTTATAACCAATGTTAAATTTTTCATATGCAGATAAAAGGTCATAGTCAAGGTCACAAATTTTGGACTCTTTTGCAAAGGTCTTGGCACAAGAAATACACATGCTAAATATGAAAGCCCTACCTCTAACAGTGCAATAATTACATGCAAGATTTAAGTTAAAACAGACAACATACAAACAGACAGACAGACAGCATGAAAACAATAAGCCCCTGATCTTTTGATACCCGGGGTCATAAAAATTCTTCACTTTTGGTACAATAT